GCGGCAAGCACATGTGATGACCCCGGGCTGGACTCCGCTTTGTCCACGGTGAAAGCCGATCCGGCGATGCACAGCGCGATGTTGATGTATTTCCTCAGTTACCAGCACGGATCAGCTCCAGGCATGACGAAGCGGATATCGTCCTCTTTTGGAAGGCCAAACAAAGTAGTTTCGCTTTCACAACGAAACACACAGCATCTCCACGACATGGCGCCGGCGCCGGCAACAACAGTACTACAACGAGAATAAAAGTTAGGCCTTCTTTCTTTGTGTGAACATTTGGGCGGTGTTATGCAAATCTTCCCACATCGTGACATAGACATGTGGGGGCGTGTTAGAACCAGCCGTTTTAGGTAGGCGTGGCTGACTCTTAACTTTTATAAAGAATATCTCTTTGGATTTGAGACTTTAGTCTTTGCAACTTTACAGATCTTCTTTATGCACCAAGAGCTTGTAACACTCCAAAGAGAAAGGAAAAAATGAAATCGCATCATATGACCCCTTTAAAATATCTCACACAAAACTGGGAAGAAAAACTAAAAGAGAAAAGAGAAAGTACAGGAATACCTCATGCGATAGTAAAGCTTCAGTCTTGTAGTCTCATCAATAGTGAATGAGTGATTGGGTGGATACCAGATCTTGCTAAATTCATCATAAAGGGCGAACAAACTGCTACACAGTGGAGATATACCTGAAGTATTGAGACATTATTGAGTCTGTGATGGTTACAATCTTTATTTTGTGGAATAGTTGAAAAACTTACCCAACTTCTTGGCAGCTTCAACACACAGCTCCTCTGCTGTGAAACTTCCTGAGAGATGAATGATCTGGTGTGTCTCTGGCAGGTAAAAATGTATCTCGAGCCCCTGTAATATCACTGAGGCCATGACTTCTTCTTTTTTAACACTTTATTAATGAGGTCACGGCAATATTCCATTCCAACTTTGTCCTATGTATAGTAAAATAAAATTCGGTCATCATACATATGGTATAGAACAACATTACCCACTTCGAAATACAGTAAAGAATGTTCTTTACGAACACCTGGGGTTTTTACAGGTAACGTTAACAGCTGGTTTAATAGAAACTGAAAGTTTGCTGAAGAGCTCAATTCACGACTAACACAATTCTCTCCTATTTCTGACTGTCATTAGTGTGTCTGGATTCTAACGGCTACATCGAATAAACTTATAAAATATATATAAATCGTGTAAACGAATTTTACTTTACCGTCGAAAGATCATCTGGATGAGATTCGCTTCCGAGGAAACTGATGATGAGATTCTGATAAATTACGTGCCCGACACTCTGAATCTGATTGGCTGCTTGACGTTTCTCTCGCCTGACGTCACCCTCATTTAACCCTTACTTCAATAGAATTTCTGTCACTGTAAAATGATCATGATTCATGATTCGGCTCATATACATACAGTCTATGCTCCCGAGGCAAAGTCTCTACGGCATTTTCCATGGAAAAACTGTGTGGTTTTTCGGGCTGTCTTACTAAATAATGAAAGCATGTTCAAATGTCCACAATATGGCATTTTCTATTATCGGATTTAGTCATTTTGTTGTAGCTGTTGTTGTTGTTTTCCAATACAAACTTACACGGTATATTCGATTAAATATGTATGCATTTTATTACTTAGGGTATTTTAAGATTAACTATATAATATTCATTATTATTAGATAGACATACAGACAGGAGCTAACAATGAAAAACACTTCTAAAGTATTTATTAATCTTATGTTAATTTCAACATTTTCTAAAATCAAGTTTTATCTGTTAATGGTATTTAACAGACCCGAACTAACATTATCTAACAATAAAACAATCAAAATCAAAACAGTACAACGTTAACAAAGATGAATAAATAGTGTAAGTGTAACAAATTGTTAGTTAATGCATAGTGGGACATTGTAATACGTTACAGATAGAGACTATCAAACTTAACCGACGTTATATTATTATTGTTGTTGTTGTTGTTATTATTCGTTTTTCTGGAGAGCTTCAGATCAGAAGATTCTCGTCTTTATACGTTTTTGTAAGACTGCTCCTTTAAGGGTGAATCAGTAGTTTGAGGAAATAGGAAGTCAGTCCAGTAACACTTAGCACAAAGACAAAACAAAAGGCGTTTGTGAATGATGGCAGGAATAAAAGGTAAAACTAAACCGTAACACTTGTTCTGATCAGTGCAGCACTTTATAATACGTTAAACAAACCACCAAGCCGATACTTTTACGAGTGCATCTGCTGTCGAAAGTAACCTAAAAGTCTTGTAAACTTAGTTGAGCTTTCATGACTACCGACTGCTACGTAAAATCTTAGGTCTAAGTATAATATAACTGCAAATGATGCAGCCTGGTTAATTAAAGTCTTTTAAGTATCATGTAGCAATGGTAAATAATACGTTGTCAACTACTATACGGTTTAAAAGTTTACTTTAGTTTTACCTTACATTTACTGTTGTGCTGCAGTCTCTATTTTTCGGTCATATTCAGTAATCCACCAATGATAATCAAATTAAGAAATTATCTTAAACATTAAAAAGAATTTGTTTATAAACAGTTTAGTCACTAAGTACGTCACTTCTGCAGTTGCGAGCTATGGCCGCGAGGGGGCCATACAAATACACGTAATGTTTCAGTGCTCAAATCTTTGGCCTTGATTAATCTGAAATATTGCTTTTCAGCTCTTGTTGCGTTATCCTTCAGTGGTGCACTTGGACTGACTTTTCTCCTTTTGGGATGTGTACTGGAACATTTTGGGTAGGTCTCTATTTTTGTCATCTGTAAAGATCTTAAGTGCAGTAATTGAAGATAACCTCTATGTGCTTCTTTCCTCACAGTGTGTACTGGCCAATGTTTGTCCTGATCTTCTACATCCTGTCACCTATCCCAAATTTAATAGCCAGGAGGCATGCGGACGACACTGAGTCAAGCAATGCATGCAGGGAGCTTGCATACTTCTTAACCACTGGAATTGTGGTGTCCGCGTATGGGCTGCCCGTTGTGCTTGCACGAAAATCTGTGGTGAGTACAGAATATACAGTATGCCCCGCTTCAGTTTTGTCTTGACCTTTTTTATGCTAAACAATTTGACAAGGTTGGCGATGTAGCATATGTGCTTAAAGGGACAGTTCACCTAAAAATTTATATTCTATCATTATTTACTCACCCTCAAGTTGTTCCAAACCTGTATGAGTTTCTTTCTTCTACTGAACACAAAAGAAGGTATTTAGAAGAATGTTGGTAACCAAATATTTGACGGTAGCCATTGACTTCCATAGTATGGAAGTACTGTTTGGTTACCAACATTCTTTAAAATATCTTCTTTTTGGTTCAACAGAAGACAGAAACTCATAAAGGTTTGGAACAAGTGGATGGTGGGTAATGATGACCGAATTTACATTTTTGGATATAAGCTTTCCCTTTAACAGTAAAATCTAAAAGATTAAAAACATGTCCAGGTCACGTTTATCTTAAAAAGAAAAAAAAAACAATCTTGTTTTAAGGACCATATTTTAATTAGTATTTATATCTATAGATATTTATTCTATTTTATATGTTTTGTGTTTTAATATATTGTATTTATTTATTTATTTATTTATTTACTTTTTATTCAATTAATATGATTACAGTTATAAGAATCATTGTTATTTTAGTAACTATTTAGAGATACTATTATGGTTTTTATTAATATTTTGAATCAGAAATATAAAAATCTATATACATTTTTGTATATATTTGTGTATATAAATTTTTATATTTTCTTTTTTTCATTTTAAATTTAGGTTAAATTTTAGTCTTTTGTGTGTGTTTGTAATTTTTGGTAGTTATATATATCTGTCTATATAGTTTTATTCATTTTTATTTCATTTTTATTTATTTTAGTACATCAAGTTAAACCAAAATCAAATAAGAAAAGTTGCCTTGGAAACTAGCTAAAATAAAAAGTTATTTCAGGTAACATTTGACATTTTATAACATTTAGTTATTTCAGGTAACATTTATTTGATTTCAAGTAGCAAAAATATTTTAATGGTTTTAATTTTGCTTTCAGTTTTGTTTTTTGTCAACTATAATAACTCGGATGAGAATGTGGATGTTTTTTGCATTATAGTAATGTAAATTGGGGAGGAATATTGCAGTGCAGATATCTTAATGGTTTTTGAAAATAGTCTTTCTTCCATTCTTTAAAATATTATTTCTTGCTTGTTTATTTAGATTTCCAGGTAAAAATATGACCCATGCAACTCATAAAATAATAGCTCAGAGGTTATCGCAGAATTCTGATTTTGTACAGTGTTCCTACATCACTGTGCAGGCATTGATTAAATTTCATTACATTTTTGTTCAAATTGCATTTAGTGCTCACATGTCCACAAAATGACTTAAAAGCATATACAGACAGAATATGCTTTCTAAAATGGCAAACCAGAAAGTACACTGAATGAAATATGTCACCATGAATGAAACTAATGGCTCTCTTCTTCTGCAGATCCAGTGGGGCGCCTGTGGCCTAGTAATGGCAGGAAATTGTGTCATTTTTCTGACCATTCTGGGTTTCTTCCTGATATTCGGAGGTGGAGATGACTTCAGCTGGGAACAGTGGTAAAGCCTATCCGGGATAAGAACAAAACTACATTATAAACTGCAAAGCTTTAAATAGTTTGCCATGGCAATGCTGATTAACCCAGGCCTTGACAGAGACTGTGTCAATTGCTTTGTTTTACTCTCAGTTATGGCTCCTCTGTCTCTCTGCTTCTGCCTTTTCATTTGCATTGCACGTCGGCATGTGCATGGCTCTATGTATACAATGATTTGCTTAAAAAATGTGGTTTAAAATTGTTTGAACAGCAAAATGTAAAGGGTGAATCTCATAAAACCTGTACAGTATACAGTTTGGGTCAGATTTACTCAAGTTAAAAGCAAAAACAATCGATTATATTTTGCTTAAAATGAAGCCTATTTTAGGACCATTTAAGATTTTTTCTGTTATGTTTATAATTAAGTGTCCCACCCTCTCAAAATGCAAAAATAACTGAATATATATTTAGATATCATCTGATTAGTCTTTTTTTTTTCTTTTTTTTTTATAATTTCTGCATTTAAAATATGTACTTTTGGTTTTGGGGTGAAATATCACACAGTACACTGTTTTTGTGAGATTCATGCTTAATGAATTAATTGTATGAACTTGAAATCATTTATGCAATCCAATAAAACCGTCATTAAGATGAATAATTTAATAATACATAAAGTTAAGAGCATAGTATGAGCATATTTTTCTGTCCTTTTTTTTAGCAGCTTGAATTGTTAGTACTTAATTACCCTGATTAAATTATTAACAATCATCATTTGCACTTGATTTATAGGCCTACCATTATTAATTATCTAACAATGCCACTGTCACCTTAGAGTTAAAGCGATGCTTTGTGTTTGCAAACAGAAGCACTGTAACCATGGCTGTCCAAAGTGTTTTTGTCTTAGTTTTTGCAATGCCACTAATGTCAATTACGGATTGGACCTGATAAGCTTTACCCTTCTGTGTACACCACATTACCAAAGCGGACATCTTCCTGCTGTTGTGTTCCTTCATTCCTTGTTTACATCTATTGTACGTTTCAATGTGGGTCTGTAGAAGCAGGAAGAACATTTTGACAAAGCGTGCAGAATACAATCATAAACAGCCTTTCAGTGATTATGGAATGTTTAGTATAGTTACGTTTTATTAGAATAGCATTGATTCATGCAATTCCAGAAACATTTTCCTATAGCTGACATAATTCCACATCAAAGCTTAAGCTTAGGCTTATCAAAGCCTACACTATGACATGATTGTTATGTAACTTAATAAATAGTAGGCTAAATAGTAAATGCAGTGTCTGAGATCCAATTTAAAGTCAGGGTGTCAGGTTTAATGATTGACAGTTTCACACTACTGGTGTTGTCTTTAATATTTTATAAAGGATTATACGGTTATCATTTTATCCACTATTTGAAATCTTTCTGTTTTGTTTCCTCAGATGTTGGACTGACTTTACATTGAATCACTTTTATAAGGGATGTTTTGATGTACCTTTGTGATCTTTGACTCTGTTTTAGCACTTTCAAGCAATATACATTTGATTATATGAATTAAAACACTTTAATTTTTCATTTTTTGTCTTGTCGTAATTGTGTCTTTTTCAGTAACCCTATACACAGCAAATAGCGTCACAGTTTGTTTTTAAAATTGCACTTTTTTTGAGCAATGACTTTAAAAATGTGCATATAGCCAGTTCTAGCAATAGATTCAATTGATGTGAGGTACACTCTAAAAAATGCTGGGTTGTTTCAACCCAACTTTGGGTCAAATATGGACTAACCCAACCGTTGGGTTAAATTTTTACATTAAATTTTTAACCCAAAAGTTGGGTTAGTCCATATTTGACCCAAAGTTGGGTTGAAACAACCCAGCATTTTTTAGAGTGTATAATAAAAGTGCAAAGCTACTTACAGAGAAGACAGATACAAACCAGAAAATGGGTGTTCAGGGATTGTAACTATAAGGTTTGTTTCAAAGACATGTTTACACTGAAATATA